CTCTCTCTCTCTCTCTACATTTATTTTACTTCACATTTAGACGGTATTAAAACATTCTTACATTGCGTATTCATCACACACGTTCAGTTTTTCAGAGTAGTATCTACTCTCGTCGAATGTCTCGCGTCGCTTATTGGCACTTTATCGTAGACAACAAAAGGCGATGTGCTCTTTTTTTCAGAGTCGGCGAACATCGCGACTACATATCGGGGTCACATCGATGGACAAGCCGCGTGAACGAGCCGCTATTTTACGCCAACGCGACGCGAGTGAACGTTATATTTTTAGATTGCTTTTGCAACGGCCGCCGCCGCCGCCGGTTGACACCTGCTACCTTTTTATCAGCATCCAATGGCGAGAGAGCGTTCTCTCTTCAGAACGGCAATCAGAGGTTCGTCACGCTCCATTATCCGCTCCGGAGCGACGCCCGCCGCCGATTTTACGCGTTACGTGCCTTTTTCACGGTTGCGTCTGGACACCTCGACGAAGGAGGGGTAACGAGATCGCCGCCGCATGGTCGATTAATTATAAAAAAATTGCGAGCAGTAAGGTAAATACAAGTAGGTCATTTGAGACTCTATTGAGTGCTTTACTTTTGTTTATCGAACCAAATCATGTTCTAAAAGATTTTTATGAAATCCGTTTTACGGAACTGAAAAACAAATGTTGTGTTGCTAACACATTAAATATTTAAATATATTCTTTATGATATTATCAATAGATTTATAAATTCTTTTCAATGAGTCTTCCAGATGATGCTGCAACGCACTGAAGCGATTCGATACACGTTTTATAAATGAAATTTTTTTTTATTTTACCGTATTAATATGAATTTTTCATATTTAATGTAATTTAACGTGTTACATATGTATTTAACATTGATGCTGGTTGGAAATGCATATATTTTTCCAGAAAGTACAAACTAATATATATACATTTTGCTTGTTCAATCGATTGTAACGTGTTCGATTATATACAGATTTTACTACTGCGTAATATACAACTGAAACATTTATCGAAAAAGTGTTTTTCAACAACTCTGAAAAGAAACACGATTTAATTTTTAATTAATTAATTAATTTTTATAATTTAATTGTATAAAAACTATATGAAAAATTATTCATTTAAGTATATTGTGTATATATAATGTATGATTTTTATTTTTTATTCCATTTGAAATTAATTTAGCCTGAACATAAATTCTTCTTTCGTTGAGACGTCAAGTGGAACGCAAAAAAAAATAGATGACTGAAATCTAAATTATTTAATTGAAATCATTGTTTCGTATACGTTAGGACCAACATCGCATATTATATCCAAAATCCTTTGACATTAATGGAATGCATACAACCTGAAATCGTCGTTCCACAGTTCACGAATGGAATATCGCCGAGGATCCATTTCGGGTCATGTGACTTGGGAAATCCCTTAAAGCCGAGAGATCTCGGCGATTTCTTCTTCCCAAAGAAATCTATTTTCTGGAAGAAGGAGACTCCTCGTAATTTTTTATCCCTTTCTGTTCATGCCTTTCCTATGTTTCAGGTTAATGCAGCTTTATATGCAGGCCGCAAATTCTTAACCTGTACAATGCTGATTCCTGATTCTTGGAATTTAATATACGAAACATTTCGCGTATTTCAATATCTATGACAGATATCGTAATACTCGAGTACCCGAGCTATGTTTGCACGGTGCAAATTAATTAAATACATGCAAACTGAATTACGTTTCCAAAGATGTGCAAATTCGATAAAGTACGCGAGTGTACGGCGTGAATCTTTAGATAATCTTTTTATTATTCAAGGCTGCGCAGATATGAAAAAATTTAATTATCGGTCAAATATTAAACGTATTTTTATATACTACTAAATACTACTAAATACAAAACTAGATACAAAAACATCGTAGAAAGCATGACACTCGATGAAGTTTAAATATTTACTAATAATAATCCTATTTCTCAAAAGGGACGAAAGGAAATAATTTTTATGTCTCAAATACTTCTAAATCTAACAACAAATCGATATGATCTCGCAGCTTGCAATCCCTCTCATAAGTCCAAAAATTCATCTTTTAATAAGTTCTCCATCCTGCTACGCCATCTTCTTCAGCGGTCAGAGATAGAGGAATGGACCTTTAATGAATCCGCGCTATTGATCGCCACTAAATTGAGAAAGCGTTCCTGTAAGAATTAAAGCGTCAATCTAATTTCTGCATAACATTTTGACTATCATACTTGAGAAATTTTATTAAATCGCATTTCGAAGATATATGTTATTAACATTAGAATTACCAATGATTAATTTTTACTATTTAAGTATACTATTATGTACACATCTTTGAAAAAAGAAATAAAGGGGAAAAATTGATTGATCAGGGTTTCAGTAAATTATTTGCCAAGCTTTTAGAGCATTCGATCCATTGTTTTTTACTTCGAATTTCAAACAATCTTGAATGTGTACTTTCAAAATCGAAAACGCGCGAAGAAAAAACAATAACGATTGTCTTCTTTTTATCGACTTGTGTTTTTCATCGTCGATCATCGATTTAGATCCGCGAGCATTGCGAGTAATCGAATTTCGCGTACGTGCTCAGTCAGTTCGAGAGAGGAGAGTATCGAGCGAGGATGTATCGACCTGCAGCAAGACTGATGATCGGTGTTGTTTTTGTGCGAGAAATAAATTCAAGTGAAAAAAAAAACCGTACACATGAACTCAACGTTTCCTCGACCTCGAAACAGACGAATCAAATAAATATTTTCCGATCTACGAAAGATCAAAAGCTCTCGTACAAATTTATTCGTACAAATATTACAATAATCATGGAAAATCTTAGAAAATGCATTATTATAAATTTAAACAATTTCAAAAAATTACAAACCATTTTGACTGCCTCGATTATTCTAATCAAGTTGCTTTGACAGTTCTATGATATTAATAAGCTAAAAATACTTATGAATTATGTATATATTTTTTCTCTCATTGATTTCGCAGATTTTGTAAGAAATTAAGTTTACAAAATATTATTTAACAAAATAAAATATATCTTGAAAATATACATGGAAAATTGTCGATATAAATTGGAGATTTGGAGGATTTAAAAAAAAACTCGTTTCAATGCTAACTCTCGTGATTGTGGAATGAAAAGAATTAATTTCCGATTTATGCTTATCCACGCGGCAAACGGGAAACGACGGAGGATGCGACCTTCCTCAACAGTCTCGATGTCAGATATTCACGAGCGCGGCACACAATGCGATATTATTACGCCCTACCTCGCTGCGCGGCAAAGCCGCCGTATATGTCGCGTATATGTCCGAGTTGTGTGTTCACGAGTGGTGTCCTCAAGCCTATGCACACGTGCGCGTTTCCACCTGCCCGCCCGCGTTGCCACCCATTTCATCGCCCTTCGAAGCTGCGCTTACGCTGACCTTGTTCCAGCTCCCAAGAAAAAGCAGGTTACGTGAAATTTCCACCTCCCCCCCCCCCCGGGGGGCGCGACCTGCATTGCCCTAACTGTGTGAGGATGCATTATTTGGTCTTCACTTATCTTAACTGTCAGACGCGATAAAATTTACAGCGATCTGTTGCAATACAGCATAAAATGGATGATCCGCAAGTTGTGAGTGAATATCTCTAACTCTAAAATATATTATGTGTATACAAAGAAAAATTGTTCGACCCGAAGGATTATTTTCTATTATAAAATGCATTTGAGAAATGCATTTGGAGTAAAACTTGAACATTTAAACAATACATCGGTAATGGACAAAGTTTCTCGCGTACATTATGAATTCCAATACGTTATAAATAGTTTATCGAGGACAGATTTTATATTGGAATTTACATATTTTTACACAAAACCGCTGATGTGACCTTGAAGCATTTTTATATTAAATTTTATTTTTAATTTTTCAATTATCTTAATTTCAATTCAAATATATACACGAGGCACGAGGTCAAAGAAATTTAATTAATAATATTATGTGCTTGAAAAATAAAATTAACAAGTATTGTCTGTATATTATTATCGACATTGCTCATTACAGGAAATTTACTGCATTTTATCGAGTTCCATGCAGTTGATAATGCAGCTTTTATCTTGCGCCTCTTTCACGGTTTGTACAAGATATATTTCAATGTTGGTCAATTTTATATTTAAACATTTCTATTTAAAAATTATATTTCTTACAAGCTACTTCCTTGTATTATATTTTTACTATAAAAGAAAAAATAATTTAAATTAATTTAAATATCTAAAGATAAATAAATCACTTCGTAAACAGCATGCATGTCCAAAATCGGAACATAAACCGTCTTGAAAGTAAGATGTTCTAAAGATGTTGTAATGATGATTTCAAGACGTTTTATATTTCAGTTTTTAACATGATGCTATCTGGGTTATTCTTTACTTAATTTTTCTCAATCGAAATACAAATAGTAACAATTATTGATTATTTAGCAAGATAATCTACAAAATATCCCTTCTAACTAAACAAAGATAGAGAATAACATTTATTGTTTCAATTTTTTTAAATATATAAATATATAAACAGAGAGTTATATAATTTTGTTAAGATTTTGTTATATAGACATCTATACAAGGTTGTCACAAATTCTTCATCCCAAAATCCCATAACTTCCCCAATTTCTAACCAAAATTTCATAATTTTCCCTGACTTTCAATAATACTTATTTCAAAGTTATATTTTTGTCCTGATTTGAAAACCATTAAATATTTTGTTGAGAGATCAACTTAACATAGCGCTGTAAATTACTATTAATGTTACTGTGACACTGCTTGTATTTTTAATTGTTAAGTTGGTAGTATTCCAAAACTGCGTAGGTATGATGTACTTACAGCCTTGGCCAAAAATATCTGGCATCTTATTAACCATTATTTAAAATTTTAGCTCAAAAATTGATTTATGACATTTGCTATAAATTATCCTTTGCTTCAAGAATCCTTTATGTATAATATCAGTAACCAAACAAGTAACAATGCAGAGGTAAGATAATTACAACACACACACACGCGCGCGCGCGCGCGCGCGCGCGCACACACACACACAATTACACATGTGTGTGTGTGTGTGTGTGTGTGTGTGTGATATAATTAACAAATAAGTTTAAAATATATAAAGTAACTATTAAATTATTTACTAGTTACTGAAAAAATGTAACTAAATTAAATTACAGTTACAAATGGAAAGGAAGTAACAAAGTTAAATTAAAATTACTGAAAAAAGGTCATTCTAACTTGTTACAAGTACAATTATTTCCCAATCCTGGGAAAATCTTATCAAGACTGGAATTCAATCAGAATTTTCTTAGTACGAGGCATCGTCTTAACGATCCTCCTTCCAAATGCTTTATTAAGCCGATATTTCATTGTACGTTTTTGTTGTACGACAAGCTTTTCCTGCGTGTGATTGGCTATAGGATATAGAAAGATCCGAGGACCTCTCTGTCTTGCACACGTTTGTCCTACGACAAAAACGCACAAATGAAATATCGGCCTTAATATTTATTCCTTTGTGGCTTTACAGAACGGATATTTATCTTGTTCCATGCACACGAGCTTCAGCGAGTTCTAATATTTACTCGTGGTCCGAACCGTGCTTATTTACACCGTGCACCGCGCACGTTCCGTTTTCATTCATTTTCTTGCGTGCTTTCTCTGTCTCTCTTTTTTTTTTCTTCGCAGAAAATCTCGACCTACGTTCACGTCGGTCATGAAACCCTCGTGAAAAGTGTCTAACGATAGTGGCGCAGCACCAGCTTTTCCGCGGTCTACTCAAGACAGCAGTCGCGACCTGTTCTCCCCTGGGGTTCTCCAAGGTGAGTTATGTCGGAGAAAAGTTCGGGCGTATACACACAATCGTGCCCATGGTACACGCGAACTACCCTTCCTTCTCGTCCTTCTCGATCACGTTTACCACCCTCTCATTCTCCATCCGTCTCGCGTCCTTCCGTCCCTTTCGCTCCGTCTCCGACGCTCTTTTCCGTCTCATCTTCGCTCTCTCTCAATCACTCTTAGCGCACCCTTCCATGCTCCTGGCTCCCACAGTTTCTCTCTCTCTCTCTCTTTTGCAGGCATTCTCCGTCCGTTTCCACCTCCGACCATCGACGTTCCGCGTTTATCGAACCATTGCGCGCGCACCGATAACAGTAACGGGGCGTGCTACGTCTTGGTTGGCCGTAGGCCGTAGACGTAGGTGGTGGATGCACGGCCGACCGACGACGACGAGGACGACGGCGGCGACGTCGACGTCGCCGAGGACGAGCGTAGCAGACTACCAGCGAAACTCGCCGCGCGAGAGATAGTTCGCCTGCCGACGGAGTAATCAGTCGTTCTCGCAACGTTCCTGAAGAAACGTGCGTGTTGTGTTGTTATTTGCATCGTTCGCAAAGTCCGCCGCGAAAGCCATTGTGAGGCCACTCGAGGGAGATTCTACGAGTGCAGCTTCGAGGTATCGTTCGAAGCCGTAGCAAAACGCTGAATTCAAATTCGAAGAAGTATATGAAATAAATCAAGGAGGTTGGCGTCGAGGAGAAGGAGGATCGTCGATCGTTTGTGATATCGCTAGTCAAAGATCCGATAAGCAAAATACCGAATTTTAAGGACGAACGATACTTTCGGATCGTGAATCGCGTTCGAGGAAGTGCTTTGAATGTGCATCAATAGTGCTTCAGGAGTGCAGCTTGAGAACACGTCGGCATACGGCTGTCTGTAAAAGCGAGCTGACGACACGCAAAGGACAAGAGTCAAAGTATCAAATAGGGTGTTTCGGTGTGTCGATCCAGTGTTTTTGTTCACCTGGCTCATCCTCCCTCCGAGAGGCGGAGGGCGGTAAAGCATCGATCGTTCGCCATTTTGCGCGACGGCCGACATCTTTTGCGCGCATCGACGACATCTTGCCGCGTGACATCTTCAACGATACGGAAGCTACAGAGGCTGCAGACCTATATTAAGCGATAGGGACAGATTATTCGCATATATATTTCTTGAATACGTCTCGCGTTCTCTCTCCTTCTCTTATCGATCATCGTAAACGACCGTCATATTATCTGTAACGTTCTCCCATCGCGGAGAGACTACGCAAAATTTCGCATAGTGTGATAGGAAAAGGAACAATTTGGCAGAGAAACAGGAAATAAATCGGAGCCCAACGTCGCGGAAGGAAGAAAAAGTAGTGTCCTTCAAGTCGAAGGTAGAAATCAGCAGGCTGGGAGGTCGGTTGAGTGAGGTGGTGGGTCCCGTCGTGGAGGAGGCCATTGAGCCAGGGGATGCGACCCCGCTGACGGGACCCTCGAGGGAGACCTCGGTTCCTCGAGCACCCCCGCCGCAGCGTGTTACTCCGAGTCCGCCGAGACCGCCGCCCGTTACGTCTCAACATCACGAGAATCCGGGACACCAGTCCCAAAATCCCGGGCATCACAACCCGGATCATTCGCCCCACAATCCGGGTAATCCCGGCCACAATCCTGGTCACAACCCCGGCCACCAAACTCATAATCCAGACAATCCCGGCCACAATCCGGGTGACTCCGGTCACAACCCGGGAAATCCCGGTCACAACCCGGGTAATCCCGGTCACAACCCGGGCAATCCCGGTCACAACCCGGGCAATCCCGGTCACAACCCGGGCAATCCCGGTCACAACCCGGGCAATCCGGGCCACAACCCGGGTAATCCCGGCCATAACCCGGGTAATCCCGGCCACAACCCGGGTAATCCCGGCCACAATCCGGGTAATCCCGGTAACCCGGGCCATCCGAGCCCCGCTGACCAAGACCAGAATCCCGCTGACCAGCCGGCACAAAATCCTGGCCATCCGACGAGTCCAGGACGAGAAGCTCCCCATCCACACGTGAGTCGTCAACCAAGTCAGAATCCAACCCAGCCGACACAGAGTGGCAGGGAGCAAGCACAACCAAGTCAGCAGCAGCCGCAACAATCTCAACCGCAACAGCAACAACCTCAGCCGCAACCGCAACCACAACATCTGGAGCGTAGCGCCAGCACCATGGGGACCGTATTGTCGTTCAGTCCACGAGATCGTCGGGGATCTGTTTATCCACCAACGGGGCATCAACATCCAGCTGACTTCACATTAAACAACTTTAATTACGAGCAGCTAAACAATGCGAAGAATCGCGAAAACAAGAGCAGCGTTGCCACGGTGGCGCCGGCGCCACCCACGAATCATCCACCGACTAACAACAACTCGTTACAGAACAATAACATTAATCTGAATAACAACGACAACGCGAGGATTATCTCGGAGAAGAACGCCCTAGAGAAAAACTTGAAGAAGCATTCACTGTTCATAAATGCTTTGTCGTGGAAGCGGTTCAGTACGACCAACAATAACAAGAAGAAGCTCGACAACAAGAACAAGAACCTCGCCTTCAGGCAACCGCTCGATAATATACCTATCGTTGATAAGAATAAAAATATACAGACGCCGCAGGTGAGTGCTCATAGAGCGGAAAACTTTTATTCTTTCTCTTCGGTAGACACTTCTTGTGATTCTGTTTCGAAAATTAGTAATTAATACATTTAATAAATAAAGTTTATATACTAAAAATCATATAAAATAAATAAAAAGAACAAGCATGCTTTAACAAATTTGTGCATTTTAGTAACAAATGATTGCATCATTTTCGTACTAAAATGATGCAAATTCGATAAAATTCAACATCAAAGCTACAATAAAAGTTTATTTAGAAATACGTGTAGTTTTTTTGCTTACATCGATGGCATTAAAAATACTAATATTATTTTACACAGAAAATAAGTTTATTTCTAAAAATTTATTTCTTGATTTAAATTAAACTTAATTGCACACGTTTAAAATAGAAATTACTTATTCAAGTTAAAAACTGTTATATATATTTATTCTAAAAATACATTTTTTTTTACTGAAGAGTTTTATATAATTACGTAACAATACACTATTTGTTATATAATGTAATATAATGCAATAATTTTTAAATAATTTAAGATTTATTAATATTATATATAAAAAATGGATTAACAACACACACAAGAAAAATAGATATAATTAGTATAACACATCTTATTGCTTGTTGTGTCTAGAGAAGTCTAGGGACCACTAACGAAGGGTGGGTTTGCAGTGTAAGGAATGAAATATACAACGTGCTTTGACCCCCCAGACACGATCGAAAGCATATCGATCGTTTTGATGTCTCTTTCGCGTCTCATGAGTTGTTTCTTTATAAATTTTCAATCTTTCTACTAAAACCATGATTGCTTTAAACATTCACTTTACTCTTAATATTAGATCATTGATTTTTACGATTTATAAACTGTTCATTTAATATCAGCAAAATGTAAAATCTATAAATATTTTATCATAATCTCTATCTCGTTTACTTTATTAAACTTATCTCAGTGCTGTTTTTTTTTTTATAAGAAATGCTAAATAAAGCTTGCAAAAAGTTATCACATTACATTAGTTAAATTAATACACAGTTATTATAAAAGTCACAATGTTAATAAGTATGTGTTTAAATAATATTTAATATAAAATATTATTAAAAATATAAGATTTAGAAGAATATGTTATTATGTTAAGAGAATTATGTATTAAGTATTGATCTTTTTAATTAGACAAAACCACCGGCGTCAAACAACAATCACACCACGCACAATCCGACGTGTGAGAAATTGGTGCAGAAACCCCTGCCCCCTGGACCAAGGAAAACTGTTATCCAGGCCTCCACCTCGGAATTGCTCAAGTGCCTCGGCGTCTTCCTGCACAAGAAATGCACCCGTTTAAGGGACTTCCAGGCCGGTGACGCTGTCATGTGGCTCAGGACTGTCGACAGAAATCTCCTGCTTCAAGGCTGGCAGGTGAGGTTGTCATTTTTGCAAAACACTGTCGACTGAAATCTCATTTCTTAAAATTATTGCTTAAATTATGAATGAACAAACATTTACATTTAAATACGTATTGCATTGAAAAAATATGTTTGTTTTTTTACGATATTCTTGGACATTTTTATTTAACGAGTTAAACATTTCGTTTATGAATAATCTTTAATGGAAAGAAATGGAAAGGAAATATGGACATAGTAGTGAATGTTTTAAAAAGCACTTGAATAGTAATTCAATATTCCCGAACAGATCTCTGATACTTGCTTAGTAATAAACATTTTCATATGGTAGATAGTTAACGTGCTTCATAAAATATACTCTCCGATAATATAATTATTGCGGGCACTGGTTCAACGTTAATTAATATATTACTCCCGCGGTTATTTCGCTATCGTTGTAATTGGATAATTAAGACACCAACGGCACAAGGTAATTAACTCTTGCTGATTGAACTGCTATGATTAACGTCGATATATGCAAGTTACAAAATCGATGCAGTCGATGGTCGTTGAACAACGCGAATATATATATGAATATTTAAAAAAAATAAAGTTCAACAGCTAATATAAATACTGTATTGATTTGTGGCAAAATATGAATAGTTGTTTTTGTAAACAAACTGCCATTTTATTTGACTTGGCCACTGTTATTGAAGTATTCCGAAATATAACCATGATCCAATTAAAGAATACAAATAATTGTCTTCAATGCATTAAAAGGTTTCGTTTCCCTGAAGGGACTATCATTACAAGGGATGACAGTCCACACGCGTCACGGAGAAAAGGGCTCCACTCGTACTGAATTCTCCGGGATGTGGACAGCGTCCCACGGGAATACTCGTAATAAGAGTCATCTAGGGCATGCAATATGTTAGAAAGGGAATTAGGCGAACTTTTCACGAGACAGAGCCGAGAGTTTCCATTTGGATGAACTGTAACGGGAGTCGACTTAAATTTGCATCGCAATAAGAGAGGGTAGTGAATTGCAAAGCAGCATTTTGATTATATATTTTCCTAGTGAGTCATACGATTGAAATGCTAAATTATAATACACTTATTTTTGAATTGTATACCTTTTTGCTAAATAAAATATTTTTTTTCCTTAAGAAACAAGGTTTTATAATGTAATCTACTTTTTCTAAAATGATTTTTAGGTAATTATTTTTTTTAGAAAGTTGCTTGCTACAATTGTATTTGAAAGTTAATTGTCTTCCAAATTTGTTTCTTTCTCGGAAGAATTTTTGAATGTCTTTTTCCAGATTATTTAAACTACGAATTATATCAAAGCTTCTTTTTAGCAAAGTTTTTTTCTTCTTTTTTTGACCTACTATTTTCGACCTATAATTTCGATATCGTGAGTTTTATTGCTTTCAACAAAATTGAACCGTTATATCTTTTTCTCTGAGAAATAAATCATAATCAATCAAAAATATTTACTCGTGATTTCAGTCGGCGCTGGTTTTTGATTCGATTATGAATTCAACATTTATGGTAATGGGACTATCGTGCGCGATTGCGACCTATGCAAATTGCACAGCCCCTGTAAGACTCGCCTTCTCCGCTCGTAGAAGCTATCGATCAAACTAAAAATATTTCAGTCCGATAGTCAACTGACGTAGATGCCCGCTGACTTAAAAATACTATGTAACTATTAATAATACAATGCAAAAATCTACGTTGTTGTTTATCCATTTTGTACTTTTGTCTTTATGTATTGTATCATCCGTACGCTACGTTAGTTTTCACCACAGAAGCCGAATTTTCCTCACAAGCGTAGCAAACATCGAACATTTTTTTTAATTTGATAAACACTTTGAAAATTGTTTTATAAGTTGCTTTAATTAAATTTGTTGCTACAAAAGGAGTACACACACACACACACACACACACACACGTGTATGTATGGTAAAAGACAAAACTTTTTAGAAGCATGAAAAAACTCTTTTGATAGCATATTATTGGATGTTTTTTTAATAAATAAAATACAGGCCAAACATTTCTAGCGAATTACTGTTATACTTTAATGCAATCACTTTAGTGGAAAGAATGATTTAACCTTTTTAATCATATCGTAAAAAAGTTGGCGTCTGCAGTTGACGTAAAAGTGACCAGTTCGGTCATGCGAAGTAACAAAAATAAATACATGAAAAAATAACTGATGCATTACCACAATGCGGATTGCTCAAAACGCGTCTGTATCACTAACGCCGTGCACGAAATGGTCAGTTATCTATCGATCAAATTGGCAACGATTTTTTTTACTTGTTTTATGACGAAAGTCATTATCGATTAGCGTATCGTGCAACCTTCAGCAAACCGCAGTGCTTGTGAAGTTTCATGGAAAACAGTACGCGAAGTGCGCCGGTAATAATTCCAGTTCGTTGCGACGACGATTCTCCGTTTCCGTGGGTGGACTTTTTTCATCGCGAGTGACGTCCCAATTGTTGCGAACAATTGCGCATTGTCGGCATCAACCGACACGTTTATTCTTGAGCTATGGTATCTTTGAAGAATATCTTGTTATAATTAAACTCACTGATGTTCGGACAAGCACAGCGCTTTATAATGATTTTGTGCATTTCGCGCTTGTATTTCAAATTTAATCTTGCATCTACACATGAGAAAATATATGTTACAAAATTTCCAAAGTCATTTAAATGTATAACAGTTGTTGACGAAACAAATGTCCACATATAACAACTAATATATTTATCCTTATCTTATCCTTATCTTATCTTATAAAGAAATGTCACAAGTACATTTTTTAACGAAATGGAAAGTTTATGAAAAAAATACAGATTTTCCTGTATTATATTTGAAAGTAATACAAAAAGTTTGCGGCTGTAATATTTATATGAAAAGTATGAATTTTCAATTATAATCACTTTTTGCAGAGACTATACTTCTACTATATCCTTAAGATGTTTAAGAATTAATCTAATGTATTTTTTTGAATATGTGTAGTTAGTACAATATTATAGAATAAAAAGAAAAATATGCGTCTTTTCTTCCTCTTTCTGTAAAATCTATACGGTTTATAATCCACTTTAGAACGAAAGAAATGTAAACATTATTTTACGTCACAAATTCGCCCTGTGGTTATTTCCGAGAATTCATTTGGCGGCGTATTTTGTCATTTACGACAATTTGCGACATATTACGACATTCGCGTGCTTCAACCTACTTTGTAGGGAGGCGTCGAAGACGGTCCATAATAAAGTGCCTTTGCGTAGACACGCTCCCTAGCAACGTCCCTGCGCTCATCAACATCGATTTCTCATGTCGATAAATTCGCACGTAGAATCACTGGCAGAACGAACGAGATAACACTCGGTCTTGCATCCAATGAAAGAGTCCACGTTATCTCGACGCCCAGAAAATAGCTCGCTAACGATCTAGGCTGTCTTTTTCTTGCTACCCGTCTGATTGCATGCTCAAGTTCTTATCGAGAACATATCTCTTTGTGTTGACTTAGGATTCTCCAAGTTTTCTTCTGGACGATGAAATAATATTTTTATATAATAAGATAATTAACGGAATATCTGTAAATAATTACATAAAAATATATTTATATATTTTGTTGATATTATCGAGTTGAACAAATTAATTACTTTTATATAACAAAATTATTAGCAGAATGTTTGTGAATAATTGTAAAAATATACGTATTTTATTAATTATTGTATTATCAATCAAGTTAAACACATTGGTTTTTATTTATTTTATCAACTAATTGTAAGTACTAAAATGATAAAAATGTTCTATTTTCACTGTCACAATTTTGACATTTTTAGTATTCTCAGAATACTTTTTTTGTGAATTGTCAGTCAAATGTCGCGTGAACAATTAAGAAATAATGAAACAATTAATTATTCATTTTCTACACCTAATGTGTAGTGACCATAATTTACAAAATTTTAATATTTTAACGTATTTTTAATTATTAAAATAATTTTCCTGCATTTAATTAAATATCTATTGTTAAAGCTCATGCGTGCAAAAAACAGAAAGAGTGTCACGATTCTATCAAACCATCGATGAAAAATATATTTGAATTAAGTATTTTTTAATTTATTCGATTTTTACACGAAATAATATAAATGAAATTTTTTTATTACAAAATCATTTTTATTATAGGAAATTTATAATAAAACAAACTTTTTATTTTATTTATGTTTTATCTTTTACTAGTAGAATTAAAAAATTAATTGTATAAAAACACAATTTACAAGCAATTTCTGACAGAGAAGGAATTTACTCATTTGTTTTCTTGGAATACTATTATACTATAAGTATATGTGTGAATTCGTATGTGTAAAAATCAATACACCGGACATTTCCGTGAATACAATGCAACGCGAGTGTACAGGGGAGATATACTTGCAGATACAGAAAAGAATAAGCTATTCGTACGTCCAAGTGCATGTATTTAATCCTTGAAGGCTCGTATAGGTAAATACACATGCACAGTTTTTGTTATCAATTCGTGCCCTGTAACAACAGTATCGAAACAGACCGATTTTCAGTCCTTAAATTCTTCGACTGTCACTCTTTTGACTACGTAGTTCGAGTTCACTCTTAAAATAAGCTCATTTATTTTAATCTTACTTAAGAGCACTGACCGATGTTTAAATATCTCAGCTTTTTCTTTTATAAAAACATTATATCAGATAGAAGCATAGAAGATATATTATGCCATGACATGATTTCTTTGGGATGCAATACAAATTCTATTTCCAGCAATAAAATATATTAAGCAGACATATTTTCTTACTATAATTTTCTTTAGAATAAATTATATGTTATATATATATTATAATAATATACTATTAATTTAATATCTCTCTTTGTAATTCTGTATAGCTTAGTTAATATAACATGTGACGTCAATTCATATCATACTTTAATTTATATTAAATTAATTATGTGTAATTTAGTTTATATTAATTAATATAATTATTGAAATAATTATATTTA